CCAGACAAGGCTTTTTGGGAGCTTATGCTCAAACATAAGGAAAACAACTCAGGAAGAAGGCCTGCAGGGAGCTGCTCTGAGCCTTTTGTTAGTGGGTTTGCTGAGTCATTGTATGAAGGAGGTGTAGTCTGGATGGCAGCAGGCAGAGTTGGCCATCGTGCTTTTGTGTACATATATGGCATGATCAAAAAATGACAAATAAGCTCCTCCCTGGGTGGGTATTTTAGTACGGCAACAAGGAAAAAGTTATGAGGCAAGTAGTTCTCCAAGTCCTGCATGCATTCAGACGTAGGACCCAACTGCTTTAGATAAGATCTGTAGTAAAGTGTTGTTTATCCTTTGTTCTTCATGTGGCCGAGCTGGGTGGTACAGGACCTGTGGTTAGAAGTTATGGAGAAATCTGTGAATTAGTTACCATTTGGATGCATTAGCCCCTAGGGCCAGCTGGGTTGGCCAGCGTAATAAAGTGCCACTTCCTATAATAAAAAATAAAAAAGAAGTTATGAAGAAATACGTCCCTGGGGATGGGCCAAGTCCCATCCATACTGTGTCTCACAGGGAAGTGAGAAAAGCAGCCCTGCTGCATGTCAGCGACAGAGAAAACCTTCAGATCATAAAAAGGGCAGATGAAGGGGAAGCAGGAGCAGGGCGATGTGTTCATGGAGAATACAAGCACCCGGTTCATCTCTGTCATTTCAAGGAAGGGATGGATGGCTCAGTGAATAGGTTCCACCCGTCCCCCTCCCGCCCCCTATGAATGTTTGAAGTTGAGTAAATGTGTTAACCCATCTGAAACGAATGTAGATTAAAATTTTAGAAGAAGCTGGAACTTTACTTGGCTGCTTTTTCTACCTTTGGATCTTGCTGTCAACAAACATCTCTTTAAACACGTGGAATATCCATACTTTGGGAAGCAAAAGAGCTAGTTTAGTACTTTAGGAATATGAAGTAAATGTTTATAAATGTATTTACTTTTAAATTTTTGAGGAACTTCTACTTGTGATATGGAGGAGTAAGCTCCTACATATGACTGAAAACTCTAGAAAGAAAAATACAAAAAAATCAATTACTTGTGGTGCCTGGAAAGTGAACAAAAAATAGGCAAATCTGGGCAGACATCAGCCTGGGAAAAAGTGGCCAGAGTGAGATTCTCATTCTTTGCAGCTTTGCCTTGAGGGCAGGCACACTGTACGGCATAGCAAAAGTTCCAAATACACCATCTTTCTGTCCAGAAGAATCAAGGGAAAGAGGTCAGGGCTTCCAGGGCCACCAGAGAGTGAGGAAAACAGCCAGAGAAGGGAAATTCTAAATACCATATATAAGCTTCACCTGAGTTTCTGACTGTCATCATCCATATGCTTCCCAAGGGTAAATTGAAAGCAAGCTGCACTGAGATCTGAGTCTCTCTTTGCTTGCTGGACATGAGCAAGCTTTCAGTTTGAGTTTAGCTGCCTTTAAAAACAAGAATATTCATACTCTTCAGAAGGATATAAGAATCTAGAGTTCTTACAACATAACTTTCACAATATCCAGGATATAAAATGAATCAATATATGAGCCAGGAAAATGTGAACTACTCTCAAAAGACAAATCAACGGATCCCAACTCCAAGATGATCCAGATGTTGGAGCTATCTGACAAAAATTTTAAAGCAACTATGAAAACTATGCTTAATGAGATAAAGAAATCAGTGGAGATGCTACTCAAGTGGAAATTTTAGTATTTAAAAAATGCAGTATCTGAAATTGAAAATGATGTTACTGGGTGGGCTTAATAGCAGAATGCAGATGACAGAGAAATTGGTCTGTCAGCTTTTAGAGCAGTACAAAATCTGAAAAAGGGAAGTGCAAAATATTTTTTAAAAATGGAAACTCAGGTAACCATGGAACAATATTAAAGGAGTAGTAACAGGAGTAACAGATAATTGAAGTTTCAGAAGGAGAGTTGCAAGAAGAGGAAGAAGAAGAAAAAGAATAACAATGGCTACAGCCTTCTCAAATTAGAACATACATTTATAAATTTAAGAAGCACAGAGAACTTCAGACAGGGTAAGTGTTAAGCACCCCATACCCAAGCACATCATGATCAAACAGAAAATCTTAAGAACAGAGAAAAGTGACATATTACATATGGAGTGCAACAATTTGAATGATCATGGCCTTACTATAAATAATAAAGACTAGAAAACTGCCGGGCTTGGTGGCTCAGACTGTAATCCCGTGCCTTTGGGAGGCTGAGGTGAGTGGATTGCCTGAACCCACGGGTTCGAGACCCGCCTGGGCAACTTGGCAAGACCTCATCTCTACAATAAATAAAAAAATCAGCCAAGTGCGGTAGTGTACGCCTGTAATTCTGGCTACTTGGAAGGCTGAGGTGGAAGGATCACCGGAGCCCAGCAGGTCGAGGCTGCGGTGGCTGGGAGCGGCCACTGCACTCCAGTCTGGGTGACAGAGTGAGACTCCAGCTCAAAAAAAAGACTAGAAAACAATGGAAAAACATATTTAAAGGACTGAAATCAAAAAACCTCAATTCAATTCTATACCTAATAAAAATGTCTTTTGAGAATGAAGATAAAACTGATATCTTAGGCAGTAGTTTTATATTTAGCATACTGATTAGGAATGTGGACTCTGAAGACAGAATCTAGATCTTGTAATCATGGTTAAATTACATAAACTCACGGCTGGGCATGGTGGCTCAAGCCTGTAATTCCAGCACTTTGGGAGGCCAAGGTGAGGGGACTGCCTGAGCCCACAGGTTCAAGAACAACCTGTGCAACTTGGCAAGACCTCATCTCTACAATAAATTTTTTAAAAATTAGCCAGGCATGGTAGCATGCACCTGTAGTTCCAGCTAGTTGGAAGGCTGAGGTAGAAGGATCATCTGAGCTCAGTAGGTCGACACTGGGGTGGCTGGGAGCGTGCCACTGTACTCCAGCCTGGACAGTGGAGTGAGACTTCAACTCAAAAAAAATTACATAAATTATCTAGCTTCATTTTTATGTACTTTATTAATTGATACTTTATTGAGCTACCCAAATTAATGAGTAATCGTGAGTTGTAATGAGATGTTTCTTAAGCACATAGTACCTGCTTGGTATATGGTAAATTGTGGGACAATATTAGTTATTATTTACTTATGCATATTTTTAGCTTTTGTAGTAAATATAACCAACCTTTATGGAATTTCATATTTCTCTGTTCAGTTGTCTCATTTTTTCCAACTTTAGAAAGGTTGGCTATATCTTTGAAAAGGGAAGAAACCACTAATAGTATTGTAAAAGAGAAATCACTTTTGCTGCTACTTAGATTTCAACAAAGACAAAATTTATGAAGCTCTCATTTTCAGAAAAGGAGATGAAAGAGAAAATTAAATTCCTTCTTAGAAATAAACAAACAAATAAAAGAAACCTCAGCACCTTATTAATGTAAGATTTTTACCCAGTGAGCTTTATCCAATCATTCTTTTGTTCCTTACTGTGCCTTTTTGTATGCCTCCCTGATTTCTTTTTATTTTAAAATGTTCTCATATTTTGAAACCTGATGATTTGCTTAGTTGGAAGCAAACTTGTGATTTAATGTGAATATTTTAAAACCTAAGGCCATTTATTTCATTTGAAGTAAAAGGTAGAGATATCTAAAGTGGATAATAAGTGGCTGGGTATGGTGGCCCACGCCTGTAATCCCAGCACTTTGGGAAGCCAAGGCGAGAGGATTGCTTGAGTTCAGAAGTTCAAGACCAGCCTGGATTACATGGTGAGACCTCATTTCTATAATAAATCAAAAAATAGCCAGATGTGGTGGCATGTGCCTGTAGTCCCAGCTATTTCACAGTCTGAGGTAGAAGGATTGACAGTCCAGCAGGTCAAAATTGCAGTAGCTATGATCATGCCGCTGCACTCCAGTCTGGGTGACAGAGTGCGACTCTAACTCAAAATAAATAAAGTGAATAAAAAGAGTCAGCGATGTATGTCAAGTTTACTGTTAGTCTGATATGCATTTTAATGTTCATAAACATAACCATAAGATATTCCTTTGTACTTTTTTCCTGCATTTGATATCAACAGTAGTGAAAAACATTGTCTATTGCATTTGACTTTTTAAGATACGATTCGTGATGGGAAAATGTTTTCAAAGAGGATATTCTTTGTTTTCTTCTGTTTAAAAAGAGTTATATAATTAAATACGCTGTTTTCTATTCGAGCATTTGGAAAGCTTGGGATGTAGATTTATTCTTAATCAAGTCAACTGTTTTGATTTTATTGTTGGCATCCCTGCTTTTCTTCTCTTACCCTTGTTTTCCCTTCACTTAAATCTTTTGATTCTTTTTATAAGCAAGCTCAAAATCTTTTTGGAAAAAAGTAGATAAATAAGTAGGCTGGTGAGTAAGAAGGTAAGCAGACCACTTGTTAAAAAATTCCATGTGTTCCTTTTTTTGTTCTAGATAGTTTTACTGGGAAAAACCTGGCAATAGTCCCTTTATGCATTGTTTTACAGTGTTTATCTTATTAAAACCAGTACCTAAAAATTTGTGGGCATAGATATTCATCATAACATTTTTTTATAACAGAGAAAAATGGGAACCTAAGCTGTTATTAAGAAGCTGTTAAATAAAATATGATCCAACCATATAATGTAATACTACACAGCCATTAAAATGACGTTAGAATGTTTGTTCTATCAAAGATTTTGAAGCAAGAAGTTAAAGAAGTTCAGCAAGCCCCAAACAGGATAAACTCCAATGCCCAGAGACATCATAATGGCATGGAAAATTGTCATCTATATAGTTTTATACAAAAAACATAGAATAAAAAACTGTATGTAGAATGAAACCACTGTCTAAAACATATATGAGATACATATATGCTATATAAATAGAAAACATGGAGAAAGAAGTGATTCTGTAGCTCTGTATTTAAATGAAAATAAGTCCATGGTGAAGCAGGGCAAAAATGATTTGCAAAGCAGTATGAATAGCATGCATTCATTTTATTATTAAATATATAAAGTGATAAACATTTTATTTCTTTTTTATTTTTGGCTTGTACAAACTAATTAAAGCTGAATGAGACTGGGTTTTGTGCCTTATGCCTGTAAATTCCAGGACTTTTAGAAGACTGTGATGGGAGGACAGTTTGAGGCCTGGAGTTCATGACCAATATAGGCAATAATCTTCAGTAGGCTCAAAGCTAAGGATCCAAACTACCTCTAACGACCACTTTTAGGCCAGGAGCAATGACTCACACCTCTAATTCCAGGAGTCCAAGGCTGCAGTAGACTGTCATCACATCACTATACTCCAGGAGACCCTTTCAACGGGTAAGCTGCATGCTTGCTTGCTGTGGTCACTGAATCCTCAATTTCGTCCTTTTCAGGCACATTGTAATTTTGAAACAGCTTATCACTTGCACTTCTTCAAATGTAAATTTAGTCCTTTGCATTAACACTTGCTCCATGGACTGTGGCCAAGCCGGCTCTCCTCATACCTTTATAAAGTCTCCAAAATCTAAGCAAGTCATCCACATTGATAAAAAACATGTTACCAGTAGCTGAAAGAGATATGAGAACTTTCATTAGAATGCTAATCACCATAAAACTCTTCTTCGAGTTTGTCACAGGGTTCTTTTTTTTTAATATCAATATTTTTTATTTTGATACTATGGGGTACAGTTAAGGGTTAGGTATACAAATATGATTCATTCAGGCACCCTTGTTGACAAGGGATGTTTCCCTGTCCCCAGACAGATATTGACTACCTTTAGTCCCACCTGCCTTCCCACCCCCATAGTTTCCCACCACAGTCAGTCCTTTTCTTATAGTATTACGATGGATGTTAAAGGTCCAATATATGAGTGAGAACACGTGATACTCAGATCTTTGTTTCTGTGAGAGGTTACACAGTATTATAAACTCTAGTTCCATCCAGGTTGTTGCAAAATTCATGATTTTGTTCTTTTTTATGACTGTGTAGTATTCCATTGTGTATATGTACCACATTTTTTTAATCCAGTTCTTTTTTGATGGACAGCATGGTTGATTCCAGGTTCATGCTATTGTGAACAATGCTGCAATGAACATACATGTGCAGGTATCTTTTAAATAGAGTGATTTTAGTTCTTCAGGGTATATTCCCAGTAGGGGAATTGTGGGGACACATGGGAGGTCAATATTTAGAGCTTTTAAGAATTGCCACAATGTTTCCCACAGAGGTTGCACTAGTTTGCACTCCCACCAACATTGAAGAAGAGTTCCCTTTTCACCACACCCTCTCCAGCAACTGTTATTTTTTGAGTTATTGATAATTGCCATTCTGACTGGAGTTGGGTGGTATCTCAGTGTGGTTTTGATTTGCATCTCCTTGATGATTAGTGAGGTAGAACATTTCTTCATATGTCTGTTGGCTGCTCGGATGTCTTCCTTTGAGAAGTGTCTGTTCATATCTTTTGCCCACTTTATAATGGGGTTGTTTGGTTTTTTCTTTTCAGCATGTTTTAGTTCTTTGTAGATCCAAGAGGTTAAGTCTTTGTCGGACCTGGAGTTGGCAAATACTTTTTCCCAGTCTGTAGGCTGTCTTCCTGTTCTCTTGATGGTTTCTTTGGCTTTGCAGAAGCTTGTCAGCTTAATGAGGTCCCACTTGTCTGTCTTATCTCTTATGATCTGTAGGTTTTGGGTTTTGTTCAGGAATTGGATGCCAGTTCCAATTTCCATAAGGGTGTGTCCTGCATTTTCGAAGGTTCTTATGGTTTGAGGTTTTACATTTAGGTCTCTAATCCATTTAGAGTTAATTTTGGTGTATGGGGATAGATAGGGGTCTTGTTTGAATCTGCTGCATGTGGTCAACCAGTTTTCCCAGCACCATTTACTGAATAGGTTCTCCTCTCCCCAGTGGTAGGTGGTGGAGGCTTTGTTGAAGATGAGTTGGTTGAGAAATTGAGGTTTTGCTTCTGGAATCTCAATTTTATTCCATTGGTCTATATGCCTGCTCCTGTACCAATACCAAGCTTTTTGATTATTGTAGCATTATAGTAAAGTTTGAAGTATGGTAATGTGATACCACCTGCTTTGCTTTTTTTGCGGCGGATTGTTCTGGCTATTCTTGGTCATATGTGTTTCCATATGAATTCCTGTATTGTTTTTTCTAGGTCTGAGAAGAATGTTGCTGGTA